ATTTTGTTGCGTAGTGTAAGGAGATGAAAACTTATGCGAAATTCCTAATTCATTCAAGAATGAATCAGAATTCGATTTTTGAATTCTAAACCATTGTCACTCTTAACTTTTTGAACTATCTTCCTCAAACTCAACTCTATGTTTTTGATGAAATCATTAATCATTTGAGTTGTTTCCGACTTCTGACGAAGAAAGAAAACCCAAGTAAACCTTGAAAAATCATCAACAACGACCAATATGTAGTTCTTCTTATTGAGAGTCTCAACAATCGAAGGTCCACATAAATTAATGTGAAGAAAGGTTAAATGATCTTGGAATCAATGAAAATTGAATGACCTTGTCTATGTTGCTTTCCCAGTTCACAGGCAGCACACAGTGAATCCTTATCAAATTTTAATACAAGTAACCCTTGAACTAGATCATGTAAAACCAACTTATTCAGATTTTTGAAATTTAGATGGGAGAGATGACGCAGCCATAACCAGCTAATATCATATGAAGCATTAGACAGTAGACACATAGAGGGAACTCCAAGATTTGGTTTCATGTCGAGCGTGAACATGTATCCTTTTCTGTTCGACTTAAGAAGAATCTCCATTGTTTCTTTGTTAGAGATGATGCTTCCTTTTTTTATCGAAGACAAATTGATCACTATTTCCCACAACGATTTGCAAAAAACTTATCAAATTATGTTGTAAGCCTTCGACATGCACCTCTATTTGATGTGAACTTCCATTTGTTACCTTGTCGTATCCCTTGACTTTGCATTTGTTGTTGTTGCCAAGCTTCATTACTCCTGCACTATCTAGCTTTCGATAGTCTCGTAAATTCTCCTTTCGCCTAATCATGTGGCGAGAGCAACCACTATCAATGTACTAATGCTCATCGTATTGCTCATCACTTAGTAACTGCGATCATTCAGAAAAATTTATGTCCCCAATACTTTTTGGGTCCTTGGAAATTAGTTTGAAAGGCATTATGAAAAGATGAACCTAGTACCCAATTTCGAACCTTTGACTTTAAACTGTCAATTGAGTCAATTTTGAAAGATTTAGGCATTGAAATGTAATAATTCAACGTGAAAGGTTCAACATTGATTTTCCCTTTTCCATCCTTAGTTTGATGTCCTTCATCCTTCTTCCTGGGAATTTATTTCCACTTTTTCACAGATTGATTTGCTCTTGAGAGTACTTTCCCGAACGATATTGATTTCCTTTACCTTCGAGCCAATGATTGATGTTTTTCACATCACTTCTTCCTTTCGAAAAAGATTCTTTCACCTTCTTTTTTGAATCAGGATTTGGAAAGTGTAGATTTGTGAGCTTAAAAGGTTCATTTTTCTTCCCATAAATGTCTAATTTTTCAAAATTTTGTTCTGGAAAAAATGGTTTTGGTGGATTTTGAAATCGATTTTGGTATTGATTATTATAACCAACAACATTTTTATTGAAAACATTTTATCCTTGTTAAAAATGTGTTTGTCCATGAGTTGGATTGAAATTTCTTTATTAATTTTTTCGAACAAAATTCCTTTGATTTTTGTTTCGAGCAAACCTTCCATTTTCACGATTTGGAGCAAAATTTCTTGGACGTTGATTTTGAACAAAATTTCTATTTCTTTGTTTCTGAACGCTTTGCGATCGAACTTGATTTTGAACATTAGTTTGACTTTTTGAAAAATTATTTTGCTTTTGTAATGGCTTGGTTTGAACGGACGCCTTGTTTTGAGAAAATGTCTTAACATGTTCAGTTGATGTTTGCTTAAAAACTTTTTGTTTTTGAAAAGCCTTGACACTTTTCCAATAAACTTTTTTTCGAGCTTTTGTAGTCAAAATAACTTCTTCACAAACAAAATTTTGAACCCTTTCATTGAAAACTTGTGTTTTTGTCTTTTGAGATTTCAAAACAGTTTCTTTGGTTTGATTGAGAACACTTGATTTTTTCTGCTTTTACTTCCCAAACATATTTTGGTTTCTGTCTTTGAAAATTTGTTGAATTTTTGTTTAGACAATTTTCAACTGTGCTTTGGTTCAAATAGAAACCATCTTTTTTTCACATCTTTATTATCTTCCTCAACCAGTTTATTTATTTCAGGATTCACCTTGTCACCATTTCCAGTAGTGACAAACTCTTGGATTGGAAATACAACTGCATTTGTACATTTGAATGATGGATAGAAAACAGAATTAGATTCCAAACAATGTGGACCTTTGTCGTTCAACACCTTTTCAAACTCCTTTGATTCTTCATTAACTAGTTTGACAACGAACCTAGGAATAGGTGTTCCATTCGAAACTTCAACTTCATCGCTTTCATAATCTTCCACTACAACTTGATCAAAAGGATCGCAAACTTTCAATGTAGAAGGTTGATCAGTGTTAACCTTCACCATTGAATCATGACATATTTCTTTGCCTTTTGCCATTGAATTGATATTAATAATAGATAATTGAGAACAATCAACATATTCTTCTTCTTTAATTTCACCGATATTATCAGAACCATCTTCAATATCAGAAAAATTTGGTTGAGAGTGTAATGTCGAATTCTCAGTCATGTTCAAAATTTTAACTTGTTCTTTTTTCATAAGAGTTTCATTAATTATGTGCACAAGATCATCAAAATTTAATCATTCATCAATCTTAATTATTCCATATGCATACAAGTCATTAGGAACTTTATCAAACTCAAAAAATTTCTTTTCACAATCATAAGAAGTAGCATCTACTTTTTCTCCTTCATAATCTAAGAATGGTAGTAATTTTCGATGCTGTTCTTTGCAAATATCAAAAGAATGATGTAATTCAGTAAGCTTAGCATACAAACATTTTGCTGAGTTATAGTAGATATTTCTTTTTTTAGCTAACAAAATATTATCATTCCTAACCAAATCCCTATCTACCGTAGTGTTTCTCAATTGAAGCTCTAAGTTCTCAATCATACTCTTCTTAACCTCCATCTTATTTCGAATATCATATAGTAATGATTTTGATTGTTCAACTTCTCTACTCACGGAAATCAACATATCATTAAGATAAGAAAGAGCATCATCAAAGTCTAGTAAAATGGCATGATAAGTACTAGAGGGAATATTAAGAGAATCAAGAAGGTTACGTACCTTCATAGTCATTGGAGACTTTTCAGATCTAGTTGAGACAAAGAATATTCCAGTGACCTTCTCATCCTTCGAATCGTCCTCTTCGAACTGAGTGAACATTGCTCCATGGGTAGGATTTCTTATTTCCTCATCATTAGACCCAGATGACCAGATCTAATACGTCCCATCACTCCCATCTTCTCCTTTTGTCATCAAGGAGAGTCCCTTGGTTCGTGCCCTCAACTCCTTAATTTTCTCAGCGTAGTATTCTTCTCTTCCATTTTTCATAGCATGCAATATTTGGCAAGTGATTCAAACTATTGTAATTGTTACAATCATAGCCCGAATCCCCTTTCAGCTTTAATGGTTTCTTCTCAATCACACTCTTTCCTTCCTTCTTCTCCTCCTTCGACTCTACTCTTGCACCTTTACCTGTTGAGCTATTCCCTATAAATTCACTGTTGTTCTTGTAATTTGGATTAAATGGATTTTTGAAAAACTCTTCACTTTATTATTCGAGTAATAAGCCACCGGTTCATCCTAAAAATTCATCAAAAATGCTTATTCTTCAACATCCTCTTGTTCACCGGATTTAATTTCAGAGTCATTGGCAGTCACTTTTGACATTAAAGCCAATGGTCCTCCTAAGCTCAAGTTTCCTTCTTCAGCAATCTCATTAATCTCACTTTCATGGGCTTCAGAAGGCGGTACAAATCAGCCAAAGAATAACCGTTGAAACTCTTTTGAGTTTTGATCACCAGGCTTATGTTTCTCCATTCCTTTCGCAACCCCATCAGGAAAGTCACATTGTATCAAGAGTCGAACGAGTAACACCATAACGAGTACACTTAAAGATCAACACGTTCAAGCGATCATAATACAACTCGATGATTTTGTTATCTTTTTACTTGAACTCACCCAATTCCAATAGGCACTCCTTCACTGAACTTTTCTTGGTCTTCTCACTACCCTGATATTTCTTTTTTAATGCGTCCTAAAATTCCTTCATGATTTTACAAATTCGAACATAGTTGTAAACTTCTGATGGAAGAGCACCACGTAGTTATCGAAGACATTTCTTATTATTTGCTTTCTATTTATCTGTTTGCATAGCAACATCAGCAGAAGAACCAGCAGTTGCAACTTATTCAAGCCTTCAAGGATGATAGTTTCCACTTGTGATACACCTCCAAAGATCTTCATCTATGCCGTTGAGATAATCCTCCATTCGATCGACCCACTGCTCGTAGTATTTAGGAATGAGCAAGGGAATCTTCATATATGATCTAAGCAAATGATAAAAACTTGACATCATGTTCATGTTGAAGTTCTCCATTTTTGTACGGAAAAAGGAGATTTTTGATTTTAGAAAAGAGATATAACCAAAGAATCAATCAGAAAATGATTAGTAAACACTTGATCTAACAAAATGAATGCAGGATCGAAACAAATCAATCAATTGACACAAGTTTTCTTAATCAATTATGCGGAAAACTTTGAATCAAGAAGAGCGATTCAAAAATCACTACAAGAAAAATAGCCTTTAATGACGCGCAAACAATGACACTCACGGATTCACGTTACCCATTTTTGGGCGTCCTTAAAAATAATGTCAGACTTCCAAAATTTGAAGGATAGTGGACACGCATTTTTGCGTGCCCCTAAATTAGTGTCTCAAGAAAAAAAATTAAAAACACGGAGGGCGCTTTATCTTAAACGTGCGTCTTCTGTAGGTGTCGCTTTATAATTTTAAGGAAACGCGCCTTGAGAAGATAACGGGGGAAACGGAACCCTAAAATTTTGAAAACCCGCCTTTCTTTTCTACCTTCTTTTCTTTGTCTTCACAATAGACTCTCCCCTTTTGTTTCTCTATTTCGATGGTTGTTTCCCTCTTGCCCTAATCATGTCGTCGCCGCGAATCAAACACCGCCAGGCAGTGGAAGAAGATGATGAAGTTTGTCGTTGTCGTATGCCGCCATCCTTCGTTGTCTCTAACTATCTCTGCCCTTTCTTTATTCTTCGCTTCTATGATCTCAGCCTCTTATTCACCCCTCTAAATCCTTACTTGTGAGTCCACACCACGCTTGTTTTTATCTTGTTATGGAAAATCAAGAAACATTCAAAAAACCTTAGGGTTTCGCTGTGAGGCCTCGTTTCTTCTTATTAGTATCGGATTTCTTCTTGGGTGAGGGGCCAGATTGACGAGACCTGTGAGAATTCTGAGATCGATCATTGCTCCCTGTGTGACTGTGTGAGGATACAGAGATTAATGGCTGCGACAGGGTTTAGCAAACCTCCTTATATCTTCTCTACCAGGTATAATAAATGTTGGGTCAAGTCTCCAGCTCTGCATTCTCTCTACCTCTGCATTCCCTCTCTCTCCCTCTCTAGAAAACCCTAATCACCCTTCTGGTTTTTTGAACCAGGAAAAAGCGTGGTTCGTGTATTTGTAAACCCGATATAGAGATTTTTGGGTCCGATTTTTAGGGATTACCATAAATCAGAGAGACTTTTGTTGATCCAACTTTTAATCATCAAGGTACGATTCATTTATGTTGTTTTATGTCATTTAGTGTCAATAAGTTTAACGTAATTTTATGTGTTTTCTGTAGACTGGGACTCGAAATTCCAACAAACAATGGTGGAAATGCATCCACTTAGAACAGCTGATGCTGCATACAGCAAGATTAAAGGAATGCTTTCTACTCTTGAAGACCGCTTCACTCGCATTATCACTCCAAAGGTGCATCTTTTCCCATTACTTTTACAAAAATTGTCCCTGTGGTTTTTAAAAGAGTTTTCAGTTTTGGACTAAAATTCAGAAACAACAGGAACCATTTTTGTAACTTATTCTTACTCCTAGATTCCAAAAGGGGGAACTTACTCTATTTTCTTTTCGGCAATGATTTGTACAGGAATACCAAAGTTTTAGAATTGGAAGTGATGGAAACGTACAAGGAGTTGGACTATTTGTGAATACTGAACCAGAAACCGGGCATCTGGTTTATGATGCTGAGACTTGAACCTGAGACCTCAGTTATGGATTCTTATTTATTTTTTATTTTTAAAAATTTAAAATTGTTTGTTTCAGGTTTTATTGTCCTGTGTTGAGGGTAGCCCAGCTGCTAGAGCTGGAATACATGTAGGAGATGAGTTGATTGAAATAAATGGAGAGAGAATTAAAGAGATTAGTGGTGAAGCTGCTGCACAAAAGCTTAGAGGTTATGTTGGGACAAGTGTGTTACAGTCAAAGTGCACAATGTAAGTTTCTTACATTTAAGTTTGGTAGGAAGGAATGGAATGGTTGATTCCTTTCCAAAGGGTTTTATAGAAATTTGTGCGTGTTCATATTTCTGATCTACATGGAAAAAAGTTGGCCATTGACTCTAGTTTTAGAGAGGTGAAACTACCCCGGGAATTCATCAGACTTTATCCTATATTAAGTGTCATCATTCCTCATAGAACACCAAATGGTCATGTATCCAAAACCAGATATGTAAAGCTATTAGCCTTCTCCCAGGTGCTTATTAATTCTCTAAATCTTAGTCTTACTTTATAACTTCATATCTTAAATTCATCTAACAACAAGCTTTTGTAAATAGAGTGCTGCTACAGATATGAAACACGCCATTCGTGAATTTGAAAATCAGGGTGTTGAATCTTACATTTTGGATCTCTGAAACAATCCAGTAAGTAGCCTAAAGTTGACTTTAGTAAACTTTTGTTTGACTATTTACTAGTATATACATATATATGTTTATTTATAGGGTGGTTTGGTGAAGGCTGGACTTGATGTTGCTCAAATATGCCTGGATGGAGATGAGACTCTAGTGAACACAATAGATAGAGATGGGAACATGCTTCTTGTTAACATGATCAATGGCCATGCTGTTACTCGTGATCCGCTAGTTGTTCTTGTAAGTTTTTTTTTTTTTTTTTTTTTTTTTTTTTTTTTTTTTTTTGACATGAAAATCTATACATTCACCTTCTGTTACATCTTTTGCTAGTGCTGCCATGGCAGTGAGACAACAGCCACATCTATAGAAGTATAAGCTGAGAACTGGCTGTGTTAATGTGTCCCATTTTCATAAACGTGGTAACAGGGTGCACACAAGGCTACAGCTCAAGAAACGTGTGACAGTTGGCGAAAAAGGTGTTGTTTTATCCCCCCCCCCCTTTTTTTGATATGGTTTTGACTTCTGAAATAATTTGATTTGTGCAGGGGAAACGAGGTTTATAGGAGTGGAGATTTATCAGAAGCTGAAGTATGTTATTCAAAGGGTATTAGTTCAATACAACATACAAAGACGCATGGCGTTTGTATACATCCTCTTATTTTCTGTTATAGCAATCGTGCAACTATACGCATGGCTCTTGGAAGAATGAGGGAAAATGTCTAAACGACTGTAGAATGGCTGCTGCATTAGATCCCAATTTCATGAAGGTCAATAAGCTCCTATTCAGAGAAACTACTTAATACGAAGGGAGAGGCTCTTCTCATGGTATGTGAATGTGATTCATAATCTTTGTTAGTTTAATAATTGAAATTGACTGATTTGCCCCAACTTATTACACAGCTGGGGAAGCATAAATAGGTGGTTCAACTGTGTGAGCAAACCCTAGATACATCGGGTACTCCAAATTCTACCAATTTTTTTAACTACTTTCCCTTTACTTTTCAGTTTTAACCTCTTAATATTATATGATATTTATAAATCAAGGAGGGGAACTTCAGTGGTGAAGATACTGTTAGGGTTACCACCATGAACAAGCATGGGAAGCATGATTTGGATATTCCAATCATTGTCAACCCAAGAAATGATCCTCCATTTATTAATATACTTGAGTTCATCATGTTGGAGAATGTGACAGAAGATGATATTCACTTTCCAGGTCATATTCACTTTCCAGGTATATTACAGTTTATAAGAAATAACAACGTACTTTTATGTATTTGCTTATTGTGAAAACATTTTACTTTTATTTCTTTCTATTACAGTTTACAACAATGCACTTTTCATTTATGCTCTTACAAGATTTGTTGTAAGTCCTTTAATCCCAAGCCACTGATAGACCCTTGTTGAATCTATCATAAACTCCAGGCATTTTAACCCCTGATTCAATTACGTGATAATATTAAGATAATTCCCAGCTTTCAAGATGTGGGTATCTCCAAGAAAGAACAAAGTTCAATTCAAAATAATTCTTAGCTGCTAAACAAAAACCTCTAGGGAGTGGTCCCCTAAAACAGTCCTGGGACAAAGTTAGTGCTCTTGACATAACAAAACAACCATAATACCAGAAAAAACCATCCTACCCCTGGCCAAAAAGATAACAGAAATGTCGGGGCTTATCAATACCAACGGCCCAAACTTTCACCTTGTCCTCAAGGTGAAGGAAAGAATGGGTCGTCCTTACATTCCTATTCAAGTGCGGTTGCCAAAATGAATGGTAAACCTGAAACAACTCAAACTTCACGTGTAACATCAATAACTTAGGAGAATAGACCAAAATCTCCTCTGACTTCTTCTTAAGTGACTCCTGTTGCTGTTGTTCTCCTTCCATCTCTTCAAGTTCGAACCCTTGTTTGGTGGCTTTCCCTACAATCACTGGCTCCAATTCCTCTAAGATCATCTTGATAACTTTATCAACCTTCCCATTCTTATTACTCATCACACTTGAGGAGAAGTATTGGTAATGAAAACTGGGACCCTCGCTTGGTATCCTCACCACCTCAAAAACATTCTTGAATTTATGTGGGACTTCACCAATGAGTTGTGCATTCCCACCTTTTTTCACAACTTCCCAACCATTCTCATTAGGATCTAAGGTGATGTACCAGCCATATCCTCCAAAAGCAACTGATGCATTAAAGCCCTTGCTATGTAAACTTGCTAATTCAGCTTCAAGTCCTTTAGTAAAACCATCACCCGAATCATCTAAAACCTTAAGGGGGCACAATAGGAACTCTTCCAGCCGATAAAGCTCACCATAAGTAACTTCACTTCCACTTCCATTTGCCATAGGAAACTTATTTGGCAACAACTTTAACATCAAATCCTTGCTAACATCTTTTCCCTTTTTAGCAATAACAAGTATTTCTTTATCTATCTCTTCATCAATCCCTTTCTTCTTCAAATTCTCCAGGATCCAAGAGCTCTCCATACTCTTCATGTTCTCACCAGTAATGACATTACTTCCACCAAGATCATCATAACCAGCTGTAATTATAACCTGTTCAAGACCTTTTTCCTGTATTTTGATTCCAGCAAGCATACACCAATTCCCCTGCACTCTTTCTTGGGGAACCATAATATCACCCAGGGGGTCCTGATGTTTGGACAAGGTGACATTAGAATCTTCAGTAACCTTTTGAAAAGTAAAGTATGCTCCATGCATCAGATATTTAGAGAAATACTTGTCACTTTTGTTAACAGTCACAAAAAGATGAAATATTTCTCCACAGTTTTGGAGACAGAGTTTTTTTTCCATGACACTATCATCTTTATTGAAATCAACAGTAGCTAATACACCATATCCGATACATAAGACAACATTAATATCGGTAGAAGAGCCAATGTGCCCAGGTGAATCAACAAGAATGCTCAATAACTCGTTTTGGATGACAGAGGATCCAAAATTGAACCCTAGGGTTTTGAAGACGATATTAGGATAAGCCAACACCTCCAACCTTGAGGAGCTGGGTATCGTGGTTGAGTAAGAGGTGGCCAATTGGGGTTCGATCGGCAGAAGAGAAACAGAGGTGCGAAGAGGAATTAGCGCCAATTGTGTCATTGGTTGGATTAACCTTATGTGAATATAAGGTAGGTCTAATCCCTGTTTGACCAAAGTCAGAGTTGATTCAGTAAAACTTGGGCTTGAGTTAGAAAAGTTACCCATCAACTCCATAGTGCGCTTAGTATTTTGTGAGCCCAAGGTGTTGATCACAACCCACTTATCTCTCCTAAGTCAGGTATTAAAAATTCCACCTTTTGCCCTTGGCTTGATGCATATTTACAATTTAGCTTATTATTTTGATTTACACTTGCAGGAAATTAGAAGCGAGGAGCTACATAATGATGTTTCATAGATGCACCCTGGTTATAAACAGGTATGAATATGATTTACACTTCCAGTTCACATTGTATCCATTTCTGGAGAGGATATTTGGCCCTATAGTAATAGCTCGTATCGCAGGAGTAAGCAATTTTTCTTTAATTTAGTTTTTCTTTTACCATTTGTTTAATTTAATTATTCATTTTTGATGTAATTATTGATTTTGCATGAGAGATTTTTTTTATATATGAATCTTGAAAAATGGGATGTTTGGTTGTTAAGTGAGGTCTTGAATATGTTTTGTGTAGGTTGTGTCTATACCACTACTCACGAGTTATCCATTCATAGCCATGTTGACTGGATTTGCTCTCTCGTTGACTTTAAATTGTGCATCCATTATAAAGAATGTTTTATATGTAAGTTTTTCAGGGACTAGATCTGTCTACTTCATTAATTGCATGCTACTATTAGTTTATTACTTAATATAAGATAATATTTGCACATATTAATGCAACATGCAAGAAATGTTATAATTATTTTTATCTTGATAATTTGGTTTCTTGTCATCAACAGGTATCCATCATAACGGGGACATTCATTCTGCAAAATAAAGTTGTGGTAATCTTCACCTCCTCAGTTCTATAGCTTTTTTTAGGGTTAGATTCATAAAGTAACAATGCACTTTCATTGATTTAGTTATTTATTACAAGTTTATAACATCCTAATTTCATTTTTTCTTATTAGAACATTGTACTTTCAAAAATCTACCCAATTATCTTATTGTATAGCTTGAGTGCATTTGTGGCTTAATCTTAATAATAATTCAGTTTTATATTATCTTATTGTCATGTTTGTTTAGTAAGCTTAAGAAGAGTAAACAAGGTATCCTTATCTCAGTTGCAGTCAAACCACAAGCTTCCGGGGCCAATTAAGTTGCTGGGACATTTTCTGAAGTCAAACACCTTCTTCTTGTGTATAAATTCAATAGCAAATTCAATACTTTCTTGTGTATAAGTTCTATTAGAAGACAAACATATTTTTAATCCCTTTGATATCCATTTGTCTACTATTGGAATGATTATTTGTGACATTAACTTTTGTGCAATATATTATATTTTTTGTATATGGTATTTTATTTTTTATTATGATACATGAAATAGAAATTTAATTTGAAAATTAGTAAATCTACAAATAATTTTTTTTAAACAGTTAAAATTATGATACACAAAAATGTGTGTCATCTGCATTTATGACATGGCCTTTCTTGACAGGGGATTTCTTGATACGCATTGCGTGTCATTAACATGCGCGTCGTAAGGTTACGATACGCAAATGCGTGTCGTCTTCCGTTATGACAGGGCCTTTCTTGATACGCATTGCATGTCGTAAACGTGCGTCGTAATTGCGCGTCGTAAATGCGCGTCGTCTATAGACGACGCACAAAAGCGTGTCGTCTCTCTTTATGACATGGCCTTCCTTGACGTGCATTTGCGCGTCGTCTGAGCCCTTTACGACGAGCAATGAGCGTCGTAAAAGGCTGTTTTTCTAGTAGTGAATATTGAAAAAAATAGGAGAAAACTGGAATTGATTGAATGAATCCCACTCTGATACCAATTGAAGAGTGTTTAAATCAAGTTATGAACATGTAATCAACCAATGAAAGCAATAAGAACACGATACGTAAATCATATCTGGTTGTCTCATTAATCTTCTGTAAGAGTACAAGAGTTCTAGAGAGAACATAATGACGAAGAGCTCAAAAGTTACTCTCTACCCTTATATTTACTCTATTTATTGAGTGATATAGACACACAAAAAATATGCAAGGACTAGACATTAGACTTAAACATCAATAGGTGCCTTGAAAAATACATACACTTCGAAGTACATGACTTCGCAGTTAAACAGACTTACACTAATTTCGACATCTGATTATACATTTCACACCCTAAAAAGGTCAAAGTCAACGGTCAAGGTCCAAAAGTCAGTACTTCTTCCCAGCAGAGTACAACCCGCGTACCAAGAGAGTATGTCCATTGTACTCTAATGTTGACCAAAAATGGGGCGCTGACTGCGTATGTGCAGTGTACCACTAAGTACACCCAACGTATGAAGCCAAGTCCCAAAAATCCATTAAGAGCTTATTCCATTAAGCTCTTACATCCAAAACTAAAATCCAAACCCAAAATGATATCCTAAGTCATAATGTTTCCAACTTTATGACGTTGCATGGATATAAATTACTAAATGTCCACAATCCTAAGTTCTTAACCCAATAAGACCATCTAACACATGCATGGGTTACATACAACATTGAAGATTATATTTATATGCATCATAAGACTCTGAAATGTCTAAAAGGATGGCTTATATGACTTAGAGTAACCTATACTCATAATGCCAAGCTAATGGGACCAAAATGTTCACAACTTCAAGGCTAACAAGATACTAAACAAGTCATCATCAAGTTCAGATTTTTTTTACCTTAAAATGATGCCGAATGGTGATGAGATTTGTATCTAAGGTGCCTCACTCTTCTAGTGTGGTCCTCTCTTTTTCTCATTCCTTCTAAATCACCAAAAGTACCCACAAAAGCTCAAGAACACTCTCAAGAAGGATTAGGGTTCTAGATGGACTAAATGGAAAACGGAGGTTGAAGAGTAAATGGGAAATGAGGAATTAATGATGTTTACATATGGACCAAACCTTAAAAATTTGTGTTTGAGGATCCATCATGTACGCCCTGCGTATGAGGTGTACGCCCAACGTACTAAATCTGGCCACAGTCACAAAAATGCCACTATGGGTCAAAATGAAATCAATTCTCATAATAAGGGGGTTAAAAGGTAAATAGTTGAAAATCGAGATGTTACAAGTCTCCCCCACGTAAAATAGAATTTGTCCTCAAAGACCGCTGCTGCAACTAACTCAGGGTAGTGTTTCCACAACTCCATCTCGTGCTCCATAGACAATCCTCCCCGAAACCCGATCCAAACTAAAAGTTGGGTCATTCA